TGTCATCCTCATAATCACAGATTACCACCACCACACCACCGTATCACTTACAAATGGATTGTAAGAAAGCCATACCCCTTTTTATCTAAGTTTCTTGAAGTTATTACATTATTAAACTGGATAAAATTTTGCCAGGAGGACCAAAATAGTTGTCTTTCTATCCTTCATATTTTTTAAAGGGTCTAAAAATATGCACATAGTTTAAAACATTGTTGATTAATACAAAACTGTCATTATTCTTAGTAATATTCCTTCCCCAAGGCACAGAGTTCAGCAATTATGGCTTCTTTCCCCAGGGGATTAAGACTATCATAAAGGTATTTCCCTAAACCCCCGTCCCACTTAAGTCTTCATATTTCAGAGGACAGTGTGAGGATGTTTTAGGGAAGGTCTAGGGGAAAAGTCACATACATTTTTCTAAGTGGCATTATCCATCAATTCCCTGGCAAGGTTTAAAATATAAAACTACTTGATGAACTTGATAAACTGCCCCCTTTCTATGAAATCCCTTATACTTTCGCTTTGGTGGGCTTGTATTCTAGTGTGGCTAAATATATATATATATTTTTAATTTATATAGTATCTTTCTCGGGAGTATGCATTTTGGTTTTGAGCAATTGTAGCCAGTGTGCATTTTCCTGTCTTAGATAAGCAAATTGAGACTTAGAATTAAACTCAAAAACGTCTTTGCTCCTCTCCATTCAAATTAGCCTGGAGAGAAAGGGACGCACTCAGCATGCTGCTCACTCTCCTGGGTTCTTCTAAAGTTACATTAAAAATAATAATGAAGTCACGGGGAGGAGTTAGATGGATTAATTTCATGCTGAGTAGGGATTTCAGAAAAATATCATTAAAATCCATATGTTTTCTTATGTAAAACTGTTTTCACATTATCGGGGTTTTGACATTTTTTTAAATGTATCTGTAAAACAAGAATTTTTTATGATAACCTGATAACCCCGGCTGTAAATAAATGTTGCAGATGGTGATGAAGATTTTACTTAAATTTGGCTTTCACAGAAAAAGTTTTTATGTTATCATCATTTTATATTCATAATGAAACTCCTGACCACCTAAATCTGTTCTTCCCTACTGTCTTTTAGCTTACGGAAATACCAAAACAAATATTAATATGTGGATAAAATAATAAAAGTATATAATGGTTGTATAGCTCATATACCACAGATACACTCTCTCTTGACAAAACTACTATTGTCTCATTTCTTATAGTTTTTCCTGGTATCTTTTGTCCCTATCAAGAAATTTTATTTCCTTAAAACTTTAAGAAACCAAAATTCTAATCCTCAACCTAAATTTTCCCAAACTATGAATGTTACAGCCTAAATATAATATATTCGCAATAGTAAACAACAAACAGCTACAGCCGGGGATCCAAATTAACTGAGTGTGAGAGAGAAGATTAGAATAAGTGGCAATTATCCTTCAGGAGGTTTCTACCAAACAGGAATAAGCCACATGGAGTAGGTGAAAATGAAATGGAGATTGAAGATGTGATTCCTTTTTCATCTGAAAATACACTCATTCACGAGGCAATATGTGACTCCTTGGGCTCTTCTTAGACCAGCACAAAGTGTCAGGTAATCAGTAACAATTTAAATTAATGAAAAAAAGTAAGAACAGAAAGAAAAGGGGCTGAAATATTACCTAAGTACAATGAAAGAATTATTGGAAGCTTGAAAATTAGCCACTCAAATCCCTCTTTGGAGATCAGCCTCTGTTCAAAGTTGAGAAATACTTTTAAATAATCACCAACGGACAAAATAATCACCTAAAATGTGCGGGCAACCAGTACACAAATTACCAGGGTATTGGTTTTAATGCAAAAGGTCTGCACATTTATCAAGGTTGTTTTTTTGTTTTTGTTTTTGTTTTTTTTTTTGAGAAGTGGGTGATGTTTAGCTCTAAAGAATACTGAGTAATAAAACTGAAATAAGTATGCAGCACTAAATATCTGCATAAATTAAATACCATTTGAAGTTTTAAAACCATGGTTGATACAATTAAGTTTCATCTTCAGTTCTATTCAAAGTTCCTAAGTTGTTTGAACTCTTAACAGAAACCCTGAATAAGATGATTCCCTGTTTTCTTCATCATGAAATTTTAGGTAAGACACATCTTGCAAAATCACAGCTGGCCTATTGGGACATGTGACAATCTTTCTCACACTATCATATGCCTACAGCAATTTTATCAATTATATTTCCTCATACAAAGATGTGGGTGGCTGCTTATCATGGCCAAGGGACCACAGTTATCTTAAGGCTAGCTGATGGGAACTTGACATAGGTTGTCTGAACATCCCAGTGGACCATGTAGGGGAGCAATCCACATGGTAGCCTCATTCTACAAGTGGAAAAACTAAGAATCAGAAATAGCCTAACTGACCTAAAGATACCAGACAAATTCACAAGAGGAAAATAAAATAGTTTTTTTTGGTTTGTGTAGATAAAACAATCAACCACTCGCCTGGATTTTTTGTTCTCTACTTAACATAAAACACGTTAGGCCAGTCGTTCTCAAACTTTTTGACTTCAACCTCTAATAAGGAATAGATTTTACCTCACGATCAGCACACACGAGCAGGTATAATTAAAACCAAATTTCAGAAGACAAAATTTACCCTTACTGAATGCTATGCACCCTTGTATTTTCTATTATATTGTTTTCTTAGTTCCTTTTAAAATAAAAAAAGAAGTTAGTCCCAGTAAACTGATTTCATGATCCTCTAGGTCAAGACAAGTAATTTGAAAACACTGCTTTCAACTCCCAAACTTTTGATAATTACCTGAGAAAACTAGTGTTTCCTAAAAGAGTCTAGTCAATTCTTCCCTTTTTCCCTAGAGTTATTCAAACAAAAAAACTGAGAGGGGAAAATATTAAATAACATACTGTCTGTGTGAGGCCCTTGCAAAGATGCTTCTCCTCTCCCTGGGTAGGCAGAATTCTAACAAAAGAGGAAAGATGTTATAGGAAATGAATCACATGGGAAAAATCATTCTAAAACTGAGTTTCCACACAGAATCCCCTTTGTACAGGTTTTTTACTGTATTTTTGAAAGTTCCTTGTTATTTTTTTTTTTTTAGTATCCCAGAAATATTTAAGTATTATTTAATGGAAAAAGTTTAAGATAGGGCATGTTAGAGTGATACTACTTGCCACCAGAATGATGAACAATTTTGAATAAAATGGAGTCCCCTCTTCAATTGACCAGGCTCACTTGGTAATTATCAGCAAGGCAGTAAATAATCCAGCAAGGAGCAGTCTCATTAGTGCCCATTGAAATTCAGTGGCATTAATTTGCAATAAAAGAACTGAAAATTAAATGGGAAAGAAAATAGTTTCTGGAGTCCACCATTAAGGTTATGGAATTCCAATCATATCAGTGCCTTCCTTCACATCAAGGAGTTTAAAATGCTGTTTGAATTACATCTAATCGCTTTACTTTGTTCTTCCATTTTTAAAAAAAATAGGCAGAAGAAATACTTTTTCTTTTTCCGTTTTAACCCTAAATTAGGACATGTGAAATTAATTTGAAATATAAGAACTTTTCAAAGTTTCGTTCATCGTTTGTCTTTTAGGTAATAACTCAGCCTGTACTTACTTAGCTGTGGGATGCTGTAACTCCTCTCAGAGGGCTGGGGATGCTTGTCTGGATACCCCAAGAATCTGCCCTTCAGTACCTTCTGCGGGCCAACCTGCACCTTACTCCTGTTTCTTCTGCTAAAAACATCTCTGGAAATATTAAAAGTACTGAAGAGACAACGGTCCACAGTTTTCTGGGCAGAAGAACCTGGGTAAGAGCAGGAAGCAAGTCCAGGCACCAGGGTACAGGGAAGTGGCCAATTCAGCACCAGCCTGGGGCTCCCAGCAGCCTACCAAACCCAGCCAGGACACACCTGTGCTGTCGGTGTTCACCAGAAACGCCCGCCTGGCCCTCCGCAGACCCATCAGGAAGAGGAAGGAGAAACTGTCAAAGGGAAAGGGGGGAGGGAGAGGAAGAAAGACAATTCTATTGGAAAAAAATTAAAATGAGGCCACAGAACACCTGACCCTTAAGTCACCAAGTGCTCTCCTGATGTCAATTCTTGGGCAGTATCTGCGTGGTAGGCCAGACATGGAACTAAGCAGACAAGGGGTTATTTTAACGCATATTACTTTGATATGGCATGTTATAAACTCATGGGACACCTACAAGTTTTCTGTTGTCAGAAGTCACCTGCCAGCAATCTACTCCAACACGGACTCAAGCAGTTAACTCAGAAATCAGAAACTTGGTGAGACCCATTCAACCCCTGCATCGCTCTCTTCAGCACCGCTACCCAATCCTAAAACCCCAGAAGGTCTGATGGGGAGGAGGGGGGAAGCGGCGGGTGATAGGGTCGCTTCCCAAAAGTCATCCTGACAGCCTGCATATTTTCAACCTGAAATTCTAGATGAAAGGAAATTTTGCGAGCACATTAAAAGACAGAATTGTAAAATAACAGTAAATAAAACCCTCCAGAGCCCTGCTAACTCCAAACACCTCTATCTTTAAATACCAAAAATGGGACCTCAGCTAGCGACTGGTGTTTACTCGGTGCGAGGTGTGTTCCGCACAAATCAGCGCTGCTTTGCACGGTTCTCCAACATTGGATCAGTTAGAAAGCACTTGGGCTTTCGGATCTGCCTCTCCCGCACAAGGTTGGGGGATGGAGAACATGTTTTTTAAGCTGCCAAGCGACAGAACTTAACTCTCTGAACGTGGGCTTCATAAATAAGCCCCCGGCTGGGCCGCCTGCCGCTGGGATCCCCGAGCGCACCCTCAGGTCGCGCATCGCGCGGCTCCAGTAGCCGGGGCTGCCCTGGTGCCCAGCTCCGCGGCCTGCGGCCTCCGGGCGGCTGCGGGCGGCGCGACCCCCGCGCTGGCCCGCTCGCTCCCTCCCGCCGGGCGCGCGGCTGTCACCCCGACGTGGTACCGCGGGCGGCGCGGGCGCGGGTACCTGTAGAACGCCGGAGCGCCGGCCTCCCGTACTGCGTAGCCGCTCGGCTCGTTCTCCAGGTAATAGGGCACCTGCTGGCCGTGAGGCTGCAGGAAGGGCGACAGCTGCGGCGGCGGGTGCAGCAGCACCAGCGGGCTCGGAGACACGCTGTTGAGCTGGGAGAAGCTCCCCAGGCCGTTGGCGCCGAACGCGGCTGCTTCGGACCCGGGGCCGTAAGGGAGGCCGGACTGGCCGTAGACTGGCGCGGAGGCGGCGGCCGCGGCGTTGAACTCGTACGCGGCGCCCTCGGGGTAGTTGTACACCGCGGGCTTGCTGCTGTCCACGTACACCTCGCCCAGGGGCCGCTCCAGGGGGATCTTGAGCTGAGGGCGGTTCAGGGGCTCCAGCTCGTTCCCTTGGATCTGGTGCAGCATGGCCATTCCGGAGGCTTTGGTGTGGAGGGTCATGGTCATGGTCAGCAGCCGCGGGCACCGTCTCCTCGCGCGGCAAAGGGCTCAGCAGCCGACGGGCCACCTGGAAAAAGAGCACAGCCCGCGGTTAGAGGCGGCGGCGCGGCTCATGTCCCGCCACGCCGCGAACTCGCCCCGGCCCTGCCCCGGGAGCTGGCCAGTCTGGTGGAGCCGGGCGGCCAGACTCAGGCAAGTGCAGTCCCGGCGTGAACGTGCTCCGCCAACTCCCGCCCGGGCCTCCAACTTTAAGTACTCGTCTCCCGAGCTCGTATGCATTACAAAGGTGCTGGAAGACGGCCAGGGACTGTTGCCTTGCTCTGACATTGGCTTAAACATCAGTCCAGGCACAACTCGTTTTGGAGCGATCCCAAAGAGCCGCTTCCCTGAACTTTACTTTACTTGTCGTCGCTGCTGGATGGAGGCTGAATTTCACTGCCGGGGGACGGGGGCGCGCCAGGAGCTCCTAAAGGTGGCCGGGGAAAGACCGGGCTTAAAATAACCCAGGAAGACTAATCCAGGGCCCGGCTTTCTCCAGCGTGCTGCCTTAGGTGTCCTGTGCCAGACTCCAATCTATCTCTGTTTGTCTCTTTCTGTTTGATTCGCTCTCCTCGTTGGCCAGAAATATGTAGTGTGTACATAAAATGACCCTGGGGAGGACTGCTCTGTAATAGATACGGCAGATAGGATGGGGCGTGCGGTTGCACACACGGCCGGCCACAGACAGCTATATTTAGCCGCTGCGGGAATGATAGGAGGCTTGTGGGGGTGGGGAGGGGGCGGAGATTCAAGGTGTACTTATAGGAAGAGCTGCGTTTTGCCAGCAGGAGAACGCAGTGGGACCTCGTGTCCTCATCTGCAAAATGCTCCAAAGCGGACCCTTCCAGCCAGAACCCAGTGAGGTTCTCCCAGCCCAACTTGTGTGTTTATGTTGGACTGTAGTACCGTACTTGCTCCCATTAGGAATTCTCATGTGAACGATGATTCAGAAAAACCTTTGGTGAGGGCACACACGGGTGTTCATGCCTTCCACAGGTTATGCAACCAAAACTTCAGAAATGAATATGAAATGTGACCTTTCTATACAAAACACAGCCTCGGGTCATTATCCAAAGCTTTGACAATCGTGTTACATTGCTTGTCTGACCAACAAATGTTAAAATGCATGTCTACAATTCTTTTCTTTAGTGCTACGATTGGAGCTTCCCGGTTCATTTGGGCTAGGAATATACAGAATAAAATATCCAGATTAAAAAGAAGTAAGAAAAAGTTTTTAGCTGAATTAAGATCTCAGCGCACGCACACACACATATAAATGAGACAAAAGATATGGCAAGATGTGGTAGGTATATCATGCATCCATCACCTTGGATAGTTTATACTTTGTAATAAACTTCCTTTGCTCCAGCCTAATAGACTCTAATACAACCATTAATACTTTGCTCTAATTGCTATCCCAAACACCCAGTAGAGTATCTGACAAAATTTCATGGCATATATAAATGCCAAGCTTGCTGTCACTAATAGTTACAGTTTAGGATTTTCATACTAGTAAGCATGCATTTTATCTCATTCTTATAAAAACAGGTCATTTTGAGCCATATACAGATGTAGCTGATTTAATATGAAGCCAACACTGAGTTTGGCATTAATAACTATAGATTATAAGCAAAGAAAGGGTTAAAAACACATTCGGTGAATCACAGATATTTCTCTTTATGGCCAGCAATCATTAATTTCCCAAGCAATTTTTCCACAGATGATTTAGTTTCCGTAAATCACACTTTCAATTTTCAAATGCCTTTTTTAAACACATGCAAAAGCACTTCATAGGGTTCTTAAAAATCGGAACCTATCAGATGGTATACAAACAGCACAAGACTCCCACAAGTTGCCAAAGAAAAAGGAAACACCTACCCCCAAGGAGAACAGCAATCCTTATCTCCCTGCTAGGAGACAGACATTGGCCAGAAAGGTAAGTTGCTTTCTCAAAATGCTAAAGCTAAAGAGAGAAATCAAAACAGTCCTACCTACCCTGCTGGATCAAGAGCGCCTTTCCAGAAATGTTCCATGGGCTTGTAGAAGTCAAGGGCTGAGACAGTGAGAAGGAAGGCAGGAATGTGCTCGCATGTACGAGTGGCTTGTGTGTGAGAGAGGCAGAGAGCGTGTGTTGATGTGTTTGTGTGTGGAATGGCAGGGATTCGGGAAGCAGCCAGTAGGCAGGGCACTTGGCAGCCCCTCCCGGCAGACACGGCAGCTGGGCTGCTGCTCGGCGCTGGATGAATGGCAGTGGGGAGTGAGGGAGACTTGCTGTCTGCTCATGGAGAGCAGAGTGGCACAGTCAGAGAGAGCACAACTGGGGAAAGAAACTCCAGCCCCTGTGCTCCTTCCTTGGGAGCCTACAGAGTGTCCCATGCTTTCTGCTGCCACCCTAACGCTAGAGGAAAAACAAGCTTGCTGTAAATCATAGTCTTATGGCTAAAATAGATTGCCAGTCAAAAGTGTATGGGTATCAAGTTTACAAAATGTGACATGAGTGGTTTTTCCTAAAGAATATAATTTAACCATAAAAGCCTCTGGGATACATGTGGATCAAATGCCTTGCTGGCCCCGGCTCCCAATCTCTGAACACTAGTGCCGCGCCTCCGATTGCACCAGGAAACCAGACTTTGGAATAAATGTTTTGGCATTCGAGGGATGTGTTTCCAGCCTGAAATGTAATCCTCCTCCACCTCGTTAACCAAACCCACAAACCTTTCCACGAATAGCTCAGTTGACTGCTTTCTGTAAACATGTGAAAAATATACATTATTAAAAGCCTAGAGTATGAAGATAAGACAAAGGTGAGTCCCTTTGTTTCAAGCTGATTCTAGGCTCTCGGGTTGCTGGCACTGATTGTGGGGCGAAGTCCCTGGTTTCCCAATGGTGCCCACATGGATTCACCTGGTCCTTACCTTTTCCCTTGGCCGTGGTGCTGATGCAGAATAATAAGGTGCTCCAAGCATGCCTACGCCCAGGGGCCCAGGACACATGACAGGTTGTGGAGCATTTGTTGCCAGACATTAGTCACTGCCTTGGGGATTAAATGACTCTAATCACAATGCCAGGAGTGGCCAGTCTCTGGCCCTGGACGCTATGCAGTTATTGAGTTATGAGGAGCTCTAGAAATCAACATGAAGAAAGAACTAGAATGTTATAAAAATGTTAATGATCTCATGTGCAAATATATATTTGGGGCCCTTGATAGTTCTGGAGCACAGAAGAGTTCCCTCCATAATCAGCAATAACAATCAATATTGGATATAACTAAACATTGAAAAGAAAGACTATCACCCTTTGTGGGTGACAGGGGTGACTGGCTCCTCCTGTAGGCCAACAGTGACCACCCACTTAGGAAACCAGTCCAAAATAAAGCAAGAATATGCAAGGAGAGGAGGGAAGAAAAAAGGAAGAAAGAAAGGAGGGCGGGAGAAAAGAAAGGGAACCTTCCAAAGTTCACATTTAACAGAAGAAGCTCAGCTGTCCCCTCACAGACTTTGATCATTCAGAGACTTAGGAAGCTAGTCTGAGACGCCCAGCGAAGGCAGTTTTCTTGACCCCTGTCTCCGCAACACTCTCTTCCAGACTTTTCTGGAGGCCTGGGGTAAGAAAGCATACTGCATTACGGTGAGTCTCCTCTGCTGCCTCTGGCAACAACTTCACACACAGGCCCCAGCTGTCTTTTCTTCCCCTCCTGCACTCTCAAGCTGGGGAAAGGCCTCCAGCCGTGGCATACTGGCCTTCCCGGGAGAAGAAGGGTAACGATTTCTCTAGCTCCACCACCCAGCCGAATGTATCTCCGGGCCCACTTTCCCAGCAGTCTCCTGGGCATCACTGGCCTGTGCAAATGTGAGGCATTATTCTCCCTCCCACAGATGTGGTGTTCCTCTCAACCTCCCCCAGGCTGGTGGCATCACTGTCCCTCCAAGCACCCAGATTAAAATCTCACCATCTTTTTGGAGGGACGACTTTCCCTTTCCTCGCACACCTGTAGAAGCAGCAGTCCCTGCACCATCCGGCTGTCCAGCCCCCCTTTCCTTTGCCTTTCTGTTACCCCTTTAGCTCCTCATCTCACCTGTGCCGCCAGCCCCTGAGGACCTCTCTGCCTCTTCCCTTCTTTCCTACATCACCCTAGACCCTGCTGCTTATTTACTTTCCTGGCTTTTTACTCCTCAGGAAGCATCTTGTCATGACCCAGCTCCGCCTTTAACCCAGACCATAGTTTCCCCAGGAGTTCAGGGCCTCCTCTCTGCCCAGAATACCCTTCCTAGTCTACTTCTGCCAACAGGAGCCTCCACTTCAACCAAGCAAAAACTCAATAAGCTAAGAATTCAAAGCTTTTCTAATAACTCAAAGCTTTTCTCTTTTATTTTGCCTAGAACCCTCATTTTCCTGACTTGGCAGGGGTAGTCTTAACTTTTTTATCTTCTTTTTTTTTTTTTTTTTTTTTTGGCCAGGGCTGGGTTTGAACCCACCACCTCTGGCATACGAGGCCAGCACCCTACTCCTTGAGCCATAGGTGCCACCCAGTCTTAACTTTTTTATATAGGTTTAGCCCAAAAGTCACCAAGTCCACAGTGCCATCGCATATTCCTTATTCAAAGAAAATCTCCTCTCCCCTGAATTCTCATAGGAGTTCTCACACAGTTACCAGAATCCTCCTAAATTAGAGTTATTTATCTATTTTTTATCTCCTTATCCTGTTCAGAAGCTCTGTGAAGATAAGTTCTGGCTAGAGTTCTTTGGGAATTCTAAGTTCCTTGCACTGTGCCTGGCCATCTGAGGTTATCAAATATTGGGTAATTTATTGATCCTTATACTTAAAAGGACAAAAGTCTGGCTAACCGTCTATCTCTGAATGTTAAATTTCCATGCGACATTCTACTACTTTCAAAACTGTTTTTGCTAGAAGATTATCTTTGTATCTTCATGCCGGCTGAGGCCATAAAGTCAAAATTCAAATTCGTACAAGCTTGAGGCTTAAGCCTGCAATTCTTGGCAGCATAATTCACAAGAGAGCTCTGAATTTTTAGTTCGTAAGCAGATAATACTATGACCAAACATAGCTTTGTCTCTAGCTCCCTTGAAAGCTTTTTACATTTACAAAAACAAGATTCTTTCAACAGAAAACATGAAAGAAAATAAATTGGAAATATCTTCCTAATAGTTTATACTACTAAGAAATGGTTCCT